GGTTATGTCAAATCTGATCGTTGTAAAATCTTCAACTTTTACAACAACTGTGATATTTGCTAATGTCATAATAACCCAGTGGTGTTAAATAGAAACTTTACGTAACAATTCACACAAGTACTCAAGCACCAGGAAAAGGTTTCAATCTCTAATATATTCTGATCACATTTATTTATTGTTAGTTGGATTTGACAAGAAACTTGCTGACTCTATAACTGGCGTCTGATAGTTAATATTGATTGGCGTCGTTTGGGAAATGGCTGAATCTAGCTTTTTGCCTCTGATAGTTATTGTTGACGAGGGTTGACTTTATATCTTGCCTTTCAAAGTTATTGTTGATAAAGTTCTGCGAAGATATCTTGCCTCTGAATGTTTTTATTGATGAAATCGAAACCTGCCGACTCTATAACTGTCCTCTGATAGTAATTATTGACAGTGGTCGATCAGAAACGTACTGACTTTATAACTGGCCTCTAATAGTAATTAATGTCAGTGGTCGGTCAGAAACGTACTGACTCTATAACTGGCCTCTGATAGTAATTATTGACAGTGGTCGATCAGAAACGTACTGACTCTAAAACTGCCCTCTGATAGTGATTATTGACAGTGGTCGATCAGAAACGTACTGACTTTATAACTGGCCTCTAATAGTAATTATTGACAGTGGTCGGTCAGAAACGTACTGACTCTATAACTGTCCTCTGATAGTAGTTATTGACAGTGGTCGGTCAGAAACGTACTGACTCTATAACTGTCCTCTGATAGTAGTTATTGACAGTGGTCGGTCAGAAACGTACTGACTCTATAACTGTCCTCTGATAGTAGTTATTGACAGTGGTCGGTCAGAAACGTACTGACTCTATAACTGTCCTCTGATAGTAGTTATTGTCAGTGGTCGATCAGAAACGTACTGACTCTATAACTGGCCTCTAATAGTAATTAATGTCAGTGGTCGGTGAGAAACGTACTGACTCTATAACTGGGCTCTGATAGTAATTATTGACAGTGGTCGATCAGAAACGTACTGACTCTATAACTGGCCTCTAATAGTAATTATTGACAGTGGTCGATCAGAAACGTACTGACTCTATAACTGGCCTCTAATAGTAATTAATGTCAGTGGTCGGTGAGAAACGTACTGACTCTATAACTGGCCTCTAATAGTAATTATTGACAGTGGTCGATCAGAAACGTACTGACTCTATAACTGTCCTCTGATAGTAATTATTGTCAGTGGTCGGTCAGAAACGTACTGACTCTATAACTGGGCTCTGATAGTTATTATTAATGAAGGTTTGCGAAGAACGTTATTGTTATATCTTACCTTTGAATTTTATACCATTAACCCACATGGTGCAGAAAAGTTAGACGTAAAAACTCCATTCATATCATTTCATTTCATTTGAATGTTATTGTTAATGGACGTCCTTTAAAAACTTGTTGACTCTATCTTTCTTGCCTCTTATATTTATTGTTGATGGAGGCCCTTGCCTCTGAAAGTTGTTAGGTCTGACAGAAACATATCTCATGTAACTGATGTATTGCTGACGTAAATGATAGCAAAAAGAAATAACAATTTAGCAATTATATTCATATTTGTCGAATACGTAAAACATTAGTGCATTTCAGGGGATGAATATATGAATATACCTTAAAGAGACAGATGTGCGATTTTTCTTACAAATTATACTTTAGTCTCAGAAA